GTAATTTTTTAGCGTCCACTGAGCCTACAGCCCCCCCAGCCATAAAAATAATTTATTTCAATATGAGTACCAGTTGCATTTTTTTTTCCCCCTCAGCCTAACAAAACAAACCAGGGCAAAACTAAGATGCCTGCCAGCGTGTATGTCTGGAAGAGGCTGCCGGGGTTGGATGGTGACAGATAGCCGGGGCCTGACTGCAGACTGCTCCAAGTCTGGGAAACTCAACTGGGGCGAGAAGCATCAGTGCAGTCACCTCCTAACCCTCCTCATCCCTCAAGCCTGTGTCCCCTGCGAACTTTAATTTCACACCGCTATCATCAAAGTCATCATTTTACCAGAAGATGGGAAGCTTCTGATAGTTCAGTGTGAATATAGCTTACAGTTTAGTTTAATGAGGTGCTAGGAGATATCAGGGATTTCATGTTTGGTGGAGGAGAGGGGGTTTGTGTTTGGACTGCAACAGCTGGGGTTTGCTGTGTGGTGGGCTGTTGCCAAGAGGAGGTGGGCCTCTTCTGTGTGCATGGATGCAAGTTGGGTTCCTGCTGTATTTCAAAGTCTTCAAACAGGCAGCTTTCCTGGGAATGCTTTGTTTGGCAAAGAATACTAAAGAGCCGTGGATTACAGGAACCACTTCTAAACAAAAAGTCTCAATCTTTGTGTGTCTCGTTACCTAGCACCTGAGAAATAACAACATCTAACTCGGTAATAGTTAAAGGAAAATGTGGTTCATTTTATACCATATAAAGTTGTTTTGCTGAGAGCAATACTTCAGACTTTCTGCAGAAAAATATGATGTTTGTAAAAGATTTAAATTCTCTTGCATTTCAGATCGCCTTCATTTTGCAATTCTCTGCCAAAAACCAAAGAGTGGAGCTGCAAATACCCATTATTTCTGCATAGATGATGAACTTGTATATGAGAAGTAAGTACTGTCATTTTATTAGTCAGAACAATAGTAATGAGGAACCACTCTAACTGACGTTCTGTTTTCAAGTGTATCTGAGGGAAATGCATCATTCCGATTATAGAATTCATTATAGAAGTTCTGTCCTCCCAAACTTATCTGCCATAATGTTTTATACCTCTTAGAATGTTTTATTGGCTTCCCATCAGAATTTCTCAGGAATCTTTTCAAAGCAGAAGCTCTCATTGTAACAGTTCTTGTTAGAAGATACTGGGATGGGTTGCAGCAATACCTGCGCAGAAGTGTGTCTTGCAGTACTGAGCTAACGGGGATGTCTTCCGTTGTTCAAGTGTAAGGTGGAATGTCGAAGCATCCTAGCTTGAGAGAAAAAAATGTCAAACTTATTACAAGCTTTTATGAGCCAAGGAAGGATGTATTTCTCCTTAGTGAATAGCATATGCCTTTATATATAATCGTAAATGCTACTAATACTTGAAACATGTTTGACCAAGGACATACTGTTTTTTAAATTCATTTCAGAGTTGAAATACAATGAAATTCATGAGTGAATGAACCTTTGCTGTCTATATTCACATTTCTCTAGCGGTACTGGGTATTGTGTCTTTATTTCATTGTGGTGTTTTACCACAGAGTGTACCAGGAACACTGCATATGTGTATACAAATTTATTTCCTTGTTTATGAGATACTATTAATTGCCTTCTAAAGTCAGGCTTTCAGATAGTTCTCAAAATAGTTTCTGACCTGGTGCCACCGAGTGATGTTTTACTGAGAACTTTTCAAGCCTTGAGTATTCTAGTTAGTTTTTGAGTGGTTTTGTGTGGAAAACAAAGAAAAAAGTCTCTCTTTTAGTTTCTATTGAAAGATGACAAAACTGTTTCCTCCAGTAAAATAGTATGAATGCAAGAAGGCAGTCTTGTATTTAGAATCAGGTATGTATGTGTTATTACCCCTTGCTTAGTACATTCACTTTAAAAAAAGAAGGCATTTACAGAGTTCACGGACAAACAATTTTTCCCCTTTTTCCTACAAGTTTCTATGCAGATTTTGGACCGCTCAATCTGGCAATGGTCTACAGATACTGCTGCAAGCTGAATAAGAAATTAAAGGTAACAGTTTTTTATTATTATTATACAATATTCTTGCCTTTTTAAAGAAGAAAACAAATGGGCCAGAATTTTTTTGTTCAAGGGCTTGCCTGGGTTCCTCATCAAGCTAATTTTTGAATGTGCATGTTGAACTTTTTGAAGGGGCATTTAGGGAGGAGGAGACTCAGGAGAGGAAAACTGCTTGCTTTTAAGATGCAAGTTGCACCATCATGGCAGTTAAGGATATTAAGCTCCTGGAAGATAGAAGTACTCCTCTACTAAGTGGGTACAGACTTCTTTGAATGTAAAGCTTCTCTCCTCTGGAATTTAGTCTCCATGGTGATCTGCCAATATTTAGTGAGCTTGAGGGTACAATGCAATGTATTTTTATTTTTATTTGAGACGGCTTGTGTTTGACTAAGGTTTCTCTTCTGGTCCTGGTATCACATGTGTAAGAAGCAAACATTTGATCTTCAAATGATAGCATTTACAACGTGGTCCTGAAACAGACTGTTACACTCCCACTACAGGAATTGAAGGTTAGCATCTGTGAGGGGTGCTCAGTAATCTTCAGGATTGGACTCTTGGTAGAGCATAGTGTCTTTAAAACAGGGAGTTCCTATATTAATGAAAATGAACCACTGCAAGTTAGTTGACCTCTAGCAGAAGCTGGAGTACAAAACCTGTTAGGCAGATAAAAAAGCTTATTAGCGTTAATGTGAATCACAGTTTGCCTCTTCCAGAGTGCTTAGATCTTGAAACAGCCGCTGAACTGTGAAAATTGAGAAGTATGCGAAACATTATAGCTTAACAGGGAAATCTCTCTTTTTTGTTTTGTTTTGTTTTGTTGTTTTTTTTCTCTCTCCATTCCTTCATGTATATTCCTGGTTCTAGTTTGCATGATTCAGATCCATTTTGTGCCTGTGGCATTAGGAACAAATTTGTCTGAGACGAGATTATTTGATTTTTGTTAAGAAGGTACTCTGAAGCAACACAAGGCTATATTATAATTCTTTTGAATATGCTGGGTTGTGATATTTCAGAGGTATGTTAAGATTGATGAGAGCCTATTGCTGCTAGTTATCTAGGGTTTATTTGTCTTGAGTGCCTTGAATAACTGAGGAAGTAACATTGTTATTTAAATAGTGATCTTTTATGGTAGATTCACAGCTGATCATTTGAAGCGTACAGCTTCAGGCATATTGAAATTTGTCGTAAGGGCAAGTTAGGATTTTGCTTCCATCATAGGTGTCGTTGTCCTTTCTATTAACAGGGCTGTTTCACTCCCTTTGTAAGTTAGAGAAACTATATGGCAAGCACTGAGGTGAAATTTTGAGAAGTTATTTCTGATAAGGTTTAGAAATATTTTCAAAGTATTTTAATATAATCCTGTATTTTCCAATGTTTCTGTTCAAGTCATATTTTAGAAACAACTATTAGTAGAAGACTAATTTGTGGAGAGTCAGTATTTCTCTAAAAATAAAAAAAGTCTAAATTATATTTTCAAAACTAGTTAAGACTTTAACATGTCTGTGATGTTTTTAAGAATGCCATGTAGTATATACTTCTCATAAACACGTATCTGTTACTTAGGAATAGAAGTGAGAAACGTTGAATGTATCCAAAGAGGAAAAAAGAAATCAGTGTAATTTACATCAAATATGATTTAGGCTGGGTGCTAGTGGAAGTACTGAAATAATCTAACTAGAGATCCAATAGACTCTTGGGAAGCTATTGAGAGATTAGCCTACCTGGTGCACTCTGCACATATGGTTGAGAGTAAATTGTCCCCAGCCTAACATTTCTCTGATTTTGTAAAAGAAGGCATAAAAATTCTAAACTGCAAAATTACAATATTGCTGTTCATTTCTCAATACAGTCATTATCATTGATAAGGAAGAAAATAATTCATTATACTGGCTTTGATCAGAAAAAACAAGCAAATGCTGCATTCCTCATAGGCTCTTACGCAGTAAGTATTTAAATTTTTACTGTTACATCAGCATGCTAAATGTTTTCATTTTTTCATGTTCAATTTTAAAATATCAAGATAGAAGGGGTTTTTTTGCCTTAAAAAATCTTCCTGCAAATGTATTTTATAATAAGGTACCACATTCTAAGACACTTCTTAAAGTTTAGCAGGTATGAGTAGATGGGGCTTTGTTTCCCCCCCGCCCCCCTCCATTGCAATCTTTTCTCTTTAGCCATTTTAATCCTTCTAGAGAAATAAGAGCATTGCTGGGGGAAAAATAATCTTTTTGAATGTTTTCATTTAGAAAAAAAGACTGTTTCTTGATGTTTTTCCTCCCCCCCCACACACACACTCTCTGTTTTTCTTTTTCAAATAGAGAAATGTTATCTTGCACAAAATATGGTGGATCATTTCCTATTGTGTGCACTTTGAAACATGCCTTTTATTCTCCAGTTTCTTCTTTTCTAATGTGAGGTGATCTCTTCAATTAACCTAGGAGGAGGAGCGAGATCATGTGTGAAAGGCACAGAGCCTGTATAAAGCCTGGGAACGTGCAAGGTGGCTGAAATTGTCCTGGGTCAGAGCCATGATGTTGGAGGGGAAAAAATGACTTGCTTTTTATCATAACTACCTCTAAAAAAATCAGTGTTTGGTGCAACCAAAGGGGAATGTCAGAACAAAACGCTTAGTGCTTAAGAAGGAAAAATGTGATGTCCAATATTCATTTTTTGCTTTGACTTGTACCATGCCTGTGTTGTGACCATGTCTTTCTCTTGTTCGCTTATTAAGAAAGTGAAGAGAGAACCTGTGCTGCTTCTTATGTTGGAGATTTGAGGGGTCAGAGTTCATGTAGCCTTAGGTCATTCCTTTTTATTGGCTGCAAGGCTGTGCAGTACTCAGTGTGATGCTAGCGGTCTCCTTGCTGCTTCTTTACATTATGGCAGGAGTTCCATTTTCTACTCCCCAGGGTTTTCTCTGTTGTCCATTTTCCAGAGTACTTATAAATAAAGAACTTGACTTTAAAATGTGTCAGTGTTCTATGTGAAGCACACAAAAGCTTTAGGAATGTTACTGTTGACCCTTGCATTCTTAGTTACTAAATTCGTTTGCAGTTGAGGCTTTATGTTAACCAAGAGCTGTAGCTTTTAGGAAAACTAGTTTTTCAAAGTGACTTGGTTGTATTATAGACCCAGAAAATTAGGGTGCATTGGTTTCAGTTATTAACTGAAACGTCCGTTTGGATGGACGTTGCTTTTGTTCTTGCCCAGACTTTTGTTCTGAACATGTGTAGTATTGCTGTGCAGCCCAGCATCTGCCTTTTGGAGCAGCATCAGCAATACAGAAGTAATTAACTAGTAACTGTCTGATTTGAAAATATTATGGTTGACTACCCTAAAAATGAACAAAATCTCTAACTTTATTTGTGATTGTTCAGTAGCCCTGCCATGTTGCATTAACAGAAAGCAGATGGAAGGAATCCTTGGATAGACCTAATGTCTTAGATTAATATGATGGTTTATGGTGGTGTGAAACTCAGGGTTTGGTTCTGCTTTTCCTATAAGGTAGTATATAATTTCTTCATGGGTTGGTGTGGGAGGTATTCCAGTGAAGGAAGATCAGAGAAGAAAAATTCTGCCTACCCCGAGGCATACTTTTTTTTTCCTGCACCTTTTGATCATCTTTCATGAAGAGTTGTGCTTAATTACAGCAGGCATTTTTAAAGTGTTCAGGCATACACATCCAACGTTTCCTCTTTCTGCAGGGAGATTTTGGTTGTACTTCAAGTGGTGAGGAATGGCGTAAGATATGTTTAGGATGTATGATACATGTATGTCTACAGTCATATTTCCTTATTGAAAGGAAATGTATTAAGGCTTTTCCTGTTCTAAATAGGTTTAAGCATCCAATTACTTCTTCAATTGCAATGATAAAGCTTTGCTTTCTGATGAAGGATGATCTGTTTAGCTATTGGTCAAAAACTTCAGGAAGCTTTTCTGTAACTTTAGTTTATCGCACCATGGACCTGTTGGTAATACTATTTGGTGTTTGAAGTGAAGATCATAATTTAATTTCTGATTTCTGATCTCTTGCTGTTTACGTGGTCAGTTGTCATTGTATTGTGTATTCTGTGAGTTGAATTTTGGGTTTTTGTTTTTGTTGTTTTGCACTTCCAAGTGGGTTCCCACTTCTATGGCTTACCTATAGAGGTAAGCGTGTGACAGTGCATCACGTTGGATAAGAAGTGCTCAGGTGGGAAGATGAGGAAACTAGAAATGGGAAGTAGCATCCACCAAGCTACCCATAATATAGTGGTTGTCTGTGTGTGTCTTGTAAGGCCTTCAACGACTAAAGCCTAATTTTGGAGGCAAGTTATGCCTTTGCTGCAGATGCGTTAAGTTGCTTGTTAGGAATAACAGACTGCCGGCTTGCAGGAATGGCGCAAGCACAGCATGTGCGCGCTTTGATTTTTTTTGTTTGTTTGTTTTAAATGCAAACATACTTTAACACATAGCTACATTAATCTATAACGAAGTGAATATAACAAGTTCTCCTCTGCAACCTATGTCTCTAAGAGCAAGCACTCAGCGTTATTATGCTAGCAACTTGCAAGTCTGTCATTTTATAGGCTGGTTGACCTTACAGTTGCATTCCTGTGCAGTCTTAATCAGGTGTTAAGTCCTGCTTAAACAAATTGGAATATATCAGCAAGACTTATCATTTGACCCCTTTTGTTTATATGTGTGTGCACATATACGTTATGTATATATACATATACATATCATGTGGGGATATGCTAATTTTGACTACTGAAGCAATTATGAAAGTCTTCATTAACTGTGGTGAAGTGTAAGGGCAGCTGTTAGTGTTCTGGTTTACAAGCAAAGTCTGTTCTCAGTCTTTTCTTCACAGTTGGTGTGTTTTATTGTTCCCTCTGACCCCATCATCTAACTTGTCTTTCCTTCCTCTTTAGTGGAGATAGTTTCTGAAGGGGCCATCCAGGCTACACACTCCTTTCTTCCTCCTGCAACTACTGCTTCCTTCCAGGTGTACTTTGATGTGCCAGCACAGTCTAACTAAAGCTACAGGGTTCTTCAATATTAAATGGCCTTAAAGATGAAGAACAAAGTTTTAAACACATTGTTATATATGTAGTTTTATACCACAATAAGAATTTTAGAGTGAATCTTAACAGTTTAGACCTTAATCCCTTTATCGTTCATCTTGCATCTATTTTAATACTGTATTTTGTTTAATTTTTACAGATAACAAAATAATGCATAATGGGAATAATATTATTCTGGGAAGATTAGGATAAATTTGGCATGTTCAGCCACGCAAAGGGTACCTAAAATTCAGTGTGTGGGGGGTGAATGTCTATACTTTATTTGGGAGGTGGCGGGGAGAGGAGGGAGGGGAAAGAAAACCTTTGTTCTTCACCTTTTAAAGAAGAATTGCTTTTCCTTGGAAGCTGTCTGCACTGTTCAGGCCTTGCCACTCTACCAAAGCAGCAGTGATCTTCTGAGTTGATCTCTACAGTGGCCTCTCTTGATTCTCGCCAGGACTTGGCTGTGGGTGAGGAAAGTCTGCTTCTTCCATCGTTGCTCCTTCTATATTAAGAAAGAAAATGTACCCTCTGTGCCCTGTCCACCCAATTCCCAAGCTCCCCCTCTCCCCTTCACTGCATTAACTTAGTAACAGTGTTTCTTTTCTCAGGCCTGGCACTAATTATGTACTTGGAGGGTGACCCTCCGTGGGTACCTCTCCATGAACTGCTGTAATTCAGGTCACCTTCTCCAGGACTCATCTCTGTACTTTGTCTATTTTCTCATCTTCTTTCTTCAGGGTAAGCAGCGTTTCCTTCATCTGTTCTGATCCATAGTACTGTTTTTGCCTTTTCAATTTGTTAGTGTCCTTGCCAGGTGTGGCCTGTCGTTCAGTAGAAGTTGGAAGCTGCGGAATCGATTAGTATCAGTATTGAACTGCTCTGCTCTTATAGTGGCAATTGGAGAATTAGCTCTGGCTAAGCAGTGGGAAAGTAGGTAAACCTGCCTGTTTTGTGGTCCAAGCGGAGTAACAGCAAGTGGGTAAATGCTGCAGTGCTCAAATTAGAAGTGGGTAAACTATGTTTACCCTCAGCTACGTTTTGGCAAAGGGCTTGAAAAAGTGCCTGAGAAGTGAGTGGCAGAGAGGAGATGGAGAAAGAAGTACCTGCTTTTCATTTAAGAAAAGTTGCCTCAAGTCTTTTGTCTTTCTCTGTACTAATGTTCTCTAAAAGAGCTACCGCCTCGGAATTGTGTTTTGGAAATCGTGATTAGCCTTCATGATGGCAGTTTTTGCTGCTATTTCTGCCAGGTTCTTCCTCAACATGTTCTTACCAGACTCCTTGTCTCCAGAGTAGAAGAAGGGTTGCTCTCTGGGGTTCCCTCACTGTAGTACCAGCTTCCTTTCTTAACTGTCATGCAGCACTCCCAGTGTGCCCAGCCTGGTCTGTTCCCAGCTAATAGGGATTTTTATGCCTCCTTTCCCTCTACTATTTGAAAAGTCCTTCTGCTTATGATGAACAAAGAGAGTTGCTAGAGGCAAGCAGTCATTCCCTCTCTGCCACTTGTATTAACTTCTGACTGTTTACTTTAATAAAGGGACATTTGGCCACTTGTGTGTTTCTTTAGGTCACCACACAAGTTTATACAGGAGGCTTTTTTGTTTTAATGTGTTTCTAGTTTAATTTTGCTGTTTTTAACCTTGTCTTATAAGGAATTTTGTCAGAAAAATGCAATTTGTTAACGACTAGTATATTCAATGGAGCCTTAATGAAATAAAATATTTAATACTGTGAACTTACAGTAAAATTATGCATGTATGTGAGCTTATGTTTGAGCCTGGTCGACATCATAAAGGACTTACCGTATTTGTTCAGAATGGGTTTGTGTTTATTTGCAGCTTACAGCTTTTGAGATTATTTTAGGTGATATTTAAACAGTTGTATCACATGAAGTATGCTTGTATTGATTTTAAGGCAATATGTTTAGCAAAAAGCATGATTTTGTTAGCAACCTTAATTAGATTTTGCAGTTAGGATGGTCAGGAAAACAAATTTGATTACACCAAGCACTTTATGAATGGGAATTCAAAGTTTTATGTCCAGGCTTGCGTTGATATAGTTGTTAACAGGTTAGTATATTTAAATTTCAGATTTAATTTTCCTGAAAAAGCAACAAGTGATATCAAAGAACATTATCAAACATATTTTGCCTGGCCTGCAGTATTGCTATTTCACTTAGTAATGCCATATATTGACGAAGGTGCCTTTTTAAGCTGGAGCTTCCTTTCCTTTTCTGCCAAGAGTACTTTTTCCTCTGATTGTGAATATTATTTTCATGGTTCTACCGCTAATCAAGGAAACCTCTGTTTAAAGTAGGGCTGTTTTGAAACACTAATAAGAACTAGGCAATGACACAGCCTGCTGAAAGAACTCTCATTACGCAGTTGATTTTAAATGCTCAGAAAGAAGGACTAGGTAGTTCAGTCTTGCAAGCCCTTCTATTTAATTCAGTGAACATTATAGCGGCTGTTGGACTGCATGCTTATGTTGGCAGGGAGCAGTTCCTGAGTGCACCTTTCCCGGTACTCAATGCTTGGATGGTTCTTGACCATTCACAGAGCTGCATGCAATCTCTTAATTAGAAACAGATGTCCTAAATGAAAAGGATGATTAGCAGTATGTTAATGGTTCAACTGCTAATTTTAAATTTATGGCTATATTTTGAGCTCAGCATGAATTGTTTGTGTGTGCATAAAGACATTTCTAAAGAGTTGGTACACAAGTGATTATACAGGGTGATGAAACAATACAGTATTTTGTTTGAAAGATGTCAGTTCCCTCTTGTAAAAATTTTTCTGGAAGGTAAAGGATTTGTAAAGGATTTTCAGAGTCTCTTTCTCTCTCTCTGTGTGCATGCCTGTGTGTATGTATCTCACCGAAGTGATTCCAACTCTTGTATATTTTAAATTCTAAAGCTTTGCCCCCCCACGCACATACATCTCATGAATTCAGAAGTATATCATGAAATGTCTTGGTTTTGCTGTTCATCAGCTCAATACTTCCATTCTGTTTTGAAACTTGGCTTCTACTTACTGCATTAGAAAGTCCTTATTTCCTCCACTTGCTACTACTGCAGGTCTCTCTGAGCCTTTTTGCTTTCTAGCTCCCCTTCATTGGCTTTTCCTAATCCCCGGATTTGGTCACCCACATCACTCCAGTAAAATTATTCTCTTTGAAAGCTTTAGTGACCTCCTCCTGGTCAGGAACATTAGCTGCCACTCTGACCTCATGCTATTAGATATTTCTCAGTGAGTCTACAGTATAGTTTTAATTTTGGTCAGGAATATGTTTTTTGAAGTGTGTCTTTCCTTAGCTCTGCTCAGCACACTCTGGGTCACCTCACAGAGCAGTCTGAGAGCGCTCCAGCAGCTAGCAGGTATTCAGTCTGCTGGAACGACTAGAACTAGTCTGCAGTTAAAACCCTTGAAAGCGTAGGGCGAGGTGTCAAATCTTCAGGACCAGCTCCTGGTCTACAGGTCTGTTTCTGTTGGTGCATGCTATTTCCTAATGTGGATGTGGTCTCTGCTGCCTTTGCTTCTGTTGCTCCCCTGGGCTTTGCAGCTCCTTCTGTCACAGTTTCAGTGTCACCTGTTTGTAGGCAACTGGACCTGCTTACCCAGGCCCAGGCTTCCTCCAGCCTCGCACCCATCCAAGATCTCGCATTGGGTGTTCTCTTGTGCTTTGAAACAGTGCCAGAACTGATGTCTTCATTTCAACTGTTGCAGCTTCCTGCGTTATGTTACTGCCAAGATATTTTCCTTGTGAACTGAGTATTAGTTTATGGTCTTTCACATTCTCTGTAAAAACTGAATGCCATTCTTCCCTTTTGAAGGACTCCAGACCATCCCAGATGTCCAGATAACCTCATGCTAGCCAGTTTTTTGCAAGCCATTTTTCACTGAAAACCCCATATGACCATTTTATCTACTCCTGTCTCTGCAGTTATTCACACATCATATCTTAGGTGTGTAACAGTGTCATGGCTGAAATACCACAGGATCTCTCTTGTTTCAAAAGGTTCTGAGAAATCCAACTCCATTGAAGAGCCTCCTTCTTCAGTGAATGTACTATATGTTGCTTCAGATGTACTGCAAGTACTTTCCATTTTTGCTTGGTACTAGTTCCTTTGAGCTTGTCCACGCTGAAAAATGCTATATCCTTGAAGTGTGTTTTCTGTACGTACTAAATGATGTTAAACATTCCAGTGCTTAGAGATCTTTGCGCCAGAAATCATGTTGGCTTAAAGTGTCCTCATCTGTAGCTGAGTGTTCATATAACTATGTTAAGTATATCCGCGCTCATTCACAGGTATGTTCAAACAGTGTTTCTGCAACTTCATTACTTAGGTCATTTCTTAAGTTGGTTCTGTGCTTAAGAACTAATATGTTTCAATATGATGTAATGCTATTTGCCGCAACACTTGTGGCAAAAACTACTCTTGCTGTTGTTGCTGTTGCAGACAAACACTTTTGCTATTGAAGCTTCTTTGGTTCAAGAAGCTTCTGAGAGCTCCGCTGAGGTGTGGGAGTCCTTACCCTTTCTGAGCCACATATGTCTACAGGATTAGCTTCTATTAGCTGCATTTATATTTGTCTGTAGTACAAGTAGTACTGCCAGTAGTACCATACCTTACAGCAGTGAATCGCAACTGTTTTTCTGGGTGACTCATTTCTGCATGCAAACTCTATTTCTGCTGTTTAACTACAGTCTCTTCCATTTTCTGGTGCTGTTTTGCATCTCTGATTTGTAAGTTTTTCTGGGGCGGGGCTTCCCCTCCACTCTGATAGGCAAGCAGTGCTGTGTTTATAAGGTTGCTGGCAATCTGTGTGCATTGTGCTGCCAGATGCAAAGTATCACTGTATCAAAGCACACAATCTGAAGTTTCTTGGAACATAACGTTTAAGTCCGGTTTTATGCAATGACTTGTATATAGTTTATGACTGCAAAATATAATTAAAAGCTGAACTAAGGCACCTGAAGAATAACTCTTGAATGATAGTTTGGCTTTTTAGTCTCTTTTTTAATTCTGGGTTTATGCTTGTGATTATAAATGCAAAACCCACCAACCTCACCCTAATGAAAACAAATGCATGCAAAAAGCATGCAGTTGTCATTACTTAACTACTTAAAACAGTGGATTTTTCTTTGGTTTTGCTAGTTGCACAGGAAGAATACTCAAAAAATACTTAACATGGTAAACAAATCGGAGGACAAACAGAGAGTCACCCGTTTCCATGTGTGTTTAGCCCTTTGCTGGGGATATATCTCAAGCTTTTTTTTCCTCTTTGGCAACATCTGTTTCACCTCCCATTCTCACTCCACAAGAATGCGTGTGCATGTGTGTAGAGAGGATATTAAAGGTATGTTAAACCATTTGTTCAAGCTAGTTTTGCAGCAGCGTAACAGAAATTTGGAAGGCAATGCTAACTTTTAAAAGAAAAAAACGGCAAAACCAACAAAAAGCAATTATGCCAGAGTTAAATTTTTGGAGATGGTTTATTAAATACTCATTAGATTCTTACTTTTTTTTCTTAGAGGTTTTTTTTAAAAAATTGATAAAGTCCTGTAAATTATTTACATTTCCTATAATAAAAAAAAAAAAAACTTCTTGGAGTATTTTAATGCTTAGTTAATGCAGTTTTAAGGAAAAAAGTAAAAACTTTAAATTACTGAATGTTGACCTATTGCCAACAGCTTGTTTTTAACAGTTGCTCTCTTTTGGCCATGCTGGTGATTGTGTTTGATGGTATGGACCAGATAATTTTGGAAGACATGATCTGTGTAAAGAGCGAGCTTAGTGTTAGAGGCTTTCAAAGACAGATCAGTCATGTGGTGAGGGAAGACCAGGCAGGTATTGGGATTTGATCTTTTGTGAATCTGGTACATTTTCTTGAATGTTTTTAACAGTAGAAAGCTTGGTATTTAGTGTTTACAGTACGTTGCTTCAGTATATTCTTAGGATTTTCCTTCTTAAGCTACAGGTTTCTTTTTCACTCTATGGCATCTGGATTTATAGACAGGCTAATTCCAGTTTTGCTGGAATATTTGAGGGTTTTTGTACTTTGAATTACATCTTAAAAGCATAATTAAAAAAAAAAAAATCTACCAAAATTGTCCAGCCAGGTTGCAGTAAAAATATAGAAGAACCTAGAGTGACATAGGCTTTTTCACTGTAGCCTAAAGCTGAACAAAGCCTGGGGAAATCTGTAGGTTTAATATAAAAATAAATGCATCTATAGCTTGAGCAGTATTTTATATTGTTTTGCTTTATTTTAGTTTTATGTTGCACACTTAACATTCTTTCATTCTTAATGCCACTCTTTTCTAGCACTTTTGAGCTGTCTGCAATATTTAATTATGCCTTCTGTAGTAAACAAGTAACTTGAAAGTATTCATATCAATCTTAAAATAACCATTAAAATGTTTTCTTTGTCTTTTTCTCACAAAAATAGATAATATACCTGAGAGAATCTCCAGAGGATGTGTACAGGCTTTTATTGGCCGGAAACATTTCATATCTTCCCTTCAGGTAAATGCAAAGATGTTAGAACTTTCTGTAGCTTGATTTTTGAAGAATAGTATAGCGTTTACAGTCCTGAGATAGGGTTTTTTTGCTAACATTTTAACACGTGACACATTCACTGCCTGAGCTATGAGTAGAGACTGCTGAATGGGGTGTTGGCAGCCAGCACTGAAGTGTACTGACAGACAAGCAGGAGCTGAAGTAGCTACACTGCTTTGTATATAGTCTTGTTGAGCTTTTTAATCTATATTTTTAATCTACGTTGTTTCTCACTTGACAATCTATATTTGTGCCAGTAGATAAACATATCAAAATATCTGCCAGTCATCACAGATGGCTTGTAAAACAATTAGCACTCCATTTTTTTTCCCCACTTGCTGAATACATGAAGCAATCTAAAACACTATTTGGTGCATAAAGAGTGCTAGCTAACATCCTATGATTTAGTGCAACTTCAAAGCATTTCTTTTTACCAACAAGCAAAAGTGCACAACCATTGCTTTGTGGCTGCTTGACCCTGATGGAATGTAATCATAGCTGTTACAGACCACAGACTTCTCATTATGGTACCTACTGTGCTGCTTTATGTAGCAAATACGGTTGATCCATCCTGCAGAGGAACAACTTTCTAACAAGAGTTTCTAAAAGTTGGAGCAAACTAACATTCCATTGGCAGCCACAGTTTTCAGAAAAGAATGTCCAAAAAGCTTTTCAGAAGGCAAGTCAGCTGTCCAAATATGTTGTTATGGGGTGATTAACTCTGTCCTTGCTTGTTTATGTTTTCCAGCTGCCTTGCCAAGAGCTGGGCTTTTGGTATTCTTTGACCCCCCCCCCCCCCCCCCCCCTCCACAATGCCAGCCACCACCGTGTAGAAGCACCTACCTCTCTTTGTTTGCACATTTTCCTCATCCCAATTTCTTCTCTTTCTTTTTAATTCCTTTTTTTTAAATTCAAAGAAGAACATAAATGCTCCTTAAGGAGACCTGTAAAGTTTGTTCCTAAAGATTGTATAGGAGTGTGTAGGAGGGGCAAAGAGTAGCTTTTAGCTCTCTGTGTAAACCCTACCTGAAACCTCAGACCATCATCACTTCAAGAGCACTACTGAAAGAAATGCAAAGAGGTGTTATATAATAGGAATTATGGAGAGCTGACTTGTGAAGAAAGCACAGATATGTCCAGCCTCTAGGATAAAGAATACAGTATGACATCGCCTACCAAGTGTCTAGGAACTTTACCGTTTTCTTTGATCTACTAGTGCACTTAAACCTGGTGCAAAGAGAGGAATTCTGAGTAAAAGAATGGTGAACTGGGATGTTACTCTGGACCCTGTTCCTTTCAGGTCATATTCATCTCTGCAAAAAAACATACCTTAGCATAGAATAATAAAGGGTTAATCAGATAGTTTCTACTTCTGGTCATTATAAACAGGAAATTTTTTGTTAGTGGGATGCAAAGAATTTCTTTTATCAGTTTCCTGAATGGGATTCTATTATTTCCTTCTCCTGCTGATTTTTT